TGATGAAAGGAGAAGAAAGTTCACACAAAAGCAACTATTAATGCAAATTTACATAAAGAATTAGAAAGAAAACAACTTCAAGTCACTTGAAAATGAGAAAGAGACCAGAAATAAAGTAAGAATGAGTTAGACTTAGGTTTGGGGCCAAGACAAAAAAGGGAAATAAAATACTTCTGTGTGTCTTTGTAAAAATGTCACAAATAAACAGCTAACATTTTTATGAGGTGAAATTAGACAAACAGAAAGTTCCACCAGAATTACTGATGTGAGTCTGGTGGAACATGAATTGCCAGGCTGCTCACTGTAACCAAAGCTGGCCTTTCACCGAATGACAAATTTCCAGTGTTGGATTAAAATCATGAGAGTCTTGCTACAGTTGTGTCATGTTCCTGTCATCTCAGTCATTTGGTGTGAGATGGTGATCCGAGCTGTTGTAAGTCAGCCTTTTTCTCATCTTGACGTTTCATTAAAATCAACCATGTTTAATATTATTAAGTCTTTAGTCTTGGTTCAGTCACACAGTGATGTGAACATTGTAAACAACAGGTGAGCTCTCTTCAGCACCAAACAGGAAGCAGCATCGCGGGCGCATAAACAGCGGGAAATATTCCTTGGAGGGCATTGTTTTGTTGGACCTTTACAAAGGACGAGAAACTGGTGGTGTTGTGAAGTGACCAAGACCGTCTCTTTGAGGTGTCATCCAGTTTGTACCACGTCAGAGTGGAGAAAGAGAAAAGGACAGACCTCATCGTCCCCTTTCAGTCAGCAACGGTCGTGTCCACATTCTACGGTGTCTTCTCTTTTCCTTTTTGACAGTATTTTACTAAGCAAAACGCTGTGGAGACAAGCGCAGCTGTAGCCAAATGCAGGAGCACTTCTCTCCAGAGAAATCAAAGTATAGCCTTGCTAATAGTGACCCTGCACAATCCTCATTCTTTGCAAAATCATAGTCCATCCATCCATTACCTATACTGCTCATCCTGAAGAGGGTCGACCAGCGATCGGCTTTCCAACTTAACTACATCAGAAGGCACCAGGGTCATATAGTGTATATCTATCTATCTATCTATCTATCTATCTATATATAGATAGATAGATATATACAAGATACAATCAGCTCCACCACAGGTCAATATCAAAAACAATATAGAATCAAAATAAAAACGTATACAAAGATGTTACATCTGGGTTCAGGCATGCACCACAAACATCGCTCATGCAGCGGTGGATATCTCAGCCCAGCTAGGTTACACAAACATTGTGTGTTTATAGAAATTTATTTTGAGGGTCTACATCCAGAAACATCCCTTTTTTAGTAATGATTTCTCAGTGTCTCCACCTCTTCACATAAATGCACTTCAAATGTATCCACATGCACATGCACACACATACACACTTTGCTGTAACACACCCAGGGGGTTTCAAGCTACTGGTGTGATCAAAGGGGTCCAGTCTTATGATTAGCTGGCTGAGGATGAGAGAGAAGGGCAGGAGGCGGTGTAGTCTGCCACAAACCTTATCAGACATCTGAACATATGGATTAAAAGCAGTCCTTCACTCTCTGCTTCTCTCTTTCACAATCTCTCTTACAGTGTTTGTCTTTGTCTTGCGCTCTCTCCCATAATAAAGACGTACACACAGTAAACCCATACCACAGTGTGTGTCCCGTTTCACTGCTGCCCAGACATTAAAAGACAGCTTCCTTCCTAAAGTCCACTGTCATCGTCACTGTTTTGATCGTGTAGCACTAAGTGGTTACGACCACACCACAAAGCCTGCTGTTTAACCTCCTGTCTATAGGCTGATCATCACCAACTCGGATGAGACCAATGACCATTGTGTCATCTGTGAACTTGAGCAATTTGACAGATCTGATGTGATGTGTGCATTTAGTGTACAGTATTTGCCCTCATGTGGCCACCCACAGCAAAGTGCATCCATGCTTGTCACCGACTCTCTGCAGTTCCTCCCCCTTCAAGGTACATGACAGCTTTTACTGGATTCTCTTTTGTTTCTGCTGATGATCTTGACTGTTGTTTTGCACCCTCCTGCTTATGATTATTTTGTTTTGTTCTGCTGCAGCATAGTTAATTAAGTGAAGGAGAAAATGGCCAAATGCATATCATTGTTTACTATGTGGAGATGTCAAGGGGCTTCCTCTGCACAACCCCCAGGGCCCAAGCTCATTTGCACAAAACTGAAAGAATATATGTTTGTACCCCACACCACTGAAGATATTCCAGGAGCTGTTTACATTTTTTTATGTTTAATGAGAGTAAAAGAGAGGGAAAGGGGGTAGAAGTGGGGTTAATCTATAAATTGCTTAAACACCCAGCAGACATGTCACCATAAAGGGCAAACCATATCATTTTTAAGCATAAAAATGCTTTTTATATGCATTTACTGAAGCTAAGTTAACTCAGTCACACTGTGTCAGTGCAGCTATTGTAACATTTGTACCTAATTAGAAATGCATCAGTAAAAAGCACGGTAAAATGTCAGCAATCAGAAGTGTCTGTGCACACCCCCACAGTTCAGTATGTTTGTTTGAGAGGAAGAGTGGCCACAAGAGGGCACAATTCTCCCAAACACATTTGCACACACAGCACATTGTTGTTATTGTTTGCTTTTGATAAGCAGACTGATCACTGATCTGCACTTTGACATCAAGTCTAAAACTATAGTAAACTGAAAATCAGTGTTGGAATGCTGCTGTGGGGCAAAGAGCACCACTTTTAGGGAGTTACTAGGGCCCTGTGTTCATACTACATACTGTATAACAGGGTTTTGTTTTGTTGAAACGGTTCACTTTTCTGTTGGGCATGAACAGTATAACAAGAGTGGGGGGCGTGGTTACGCTTTTAAAGATGTATACCTTTGACTTTAACCTAATGCGGTTTGTGGATAGGTGTCAGTTATTGGCTAAGAAAAACCTGGTGTTGTAGAATAAAGGCTGTTGTGCATGTCAGATCTAGTGGACAAATGTACAGATCATTTATTTCTGCCAGTGGACTGCCATCCACTTGAAATGCTTTAAAAAGAGTTCATGATATTATATAAAGGTTTGGGGAAAAAATATGAAATAAGAGGTGCAGTATTTAGTGATCTTTTTTTATTGTAGAACTTTAGAACTTTACTAGAACTTTGAGTTAGAATAAGTGACAAGTTATAAGGAAATTAATCCTAAATTATGGGTAAAATGTTTAGTTTGTACCTGAGGAACTGTTTGTATCTGAGCGTCCTCGAGTTGATTTGTCTTCATCTTGGTTTTCTGCTCATTCAGGTACTGCCTCTTGGCCAACTCCTGCCAAAATCGAGCATCTATGGGAGGTCTCTTGGTGAGTGGATTCTCAGTGCCATGCACCTCTGCAGCAGGTGAACATACAAAGAATCTTAGATGTATAGTACACAATATCTGCCTAAACCTTCTTGAAGACAGACGTTATGCTTGGGTCCAACAAAAGTTATTTAAAGCTATCTCAGCCTCTCTGGTTTTAATCACATTGTAACTTTCAGTACTTGGCAGGTTCTTCAGAGTCAGATCTTTGACCATGAAACTAATCTTTGTCCTGCTTTTGGGTATCTATTAATTGACAAATGTTACAAGCACATGCACACACACTGTGTTTTCATTCCTTGTGGGGACTTTACATTGACTTACATTCATTTCCTATAGACTTATCCTAACCTTAACCATAAGTCCCCATAATGTAAGTAATACAAAGGCGCACACACACACACACACACACATATAAGTCCCCATAATGTAAGTAATACAAAAGCGCACACACACACACACACCTCGCCATCTCAACTACCATCTAAAACACTCACACACATTTTCTTCCTTTATCTCTTTAATCACAAACTGCTATTAAAAGCAAATGTTTTTCTAATTATGGGCCTTTAACAAGTCACTTAAATCCTGGAATTAGAAGACAAAGTCACTCTGTGCCCTTGAGGCATCCTGTGTCCCTCATTCAACATGTTACTAATACTACGCTGGACAGTGAGGCATTGCAATCGCTGTAATTACACTGGCATCGGGATGCAGTTTGCACAGGTCTCCTCTGAGCAGAGAAGCTGCTCTTGGCATGTTTCCCTCTGCTAGTTATACAATAGTATACCCCATATTTGGTGAAGACAGGAGAGACAAAACACACACAAGCTAACTCAGGACAGATGCAGAAAAAGTATGATGGCAAATAAATTCATGTTAGTCCTGATGTCATTTGTCTGCATGATTGTAATGTACAACACAAATAGATGATGGTATTAGTACTGTATATCTGTCAACATAGACACAGTCATAATCACTGTGGACTTACACATTTCAACAGAAAAAATGAGAAAAGCAGTGACTGCATTAAAGAGCTGAGCTTGATTTCAAGACACTGAAGGTAAGTCCAGACTTGTGAGGAAGCTTTCCCGGTGAAGGCGTTTCTTGCTGAGTAAGGATTTTTTTTAAGGAGTATCTAATCTACTGTACCTGCCAGAGGCTCTGAGTGTGTGTCTGTAATTTGTGCTGTAAAACCTGGAGCACAAGTCTGAGACAGTAAATTCTCCAAGTGAATCTGCAGAGCTCCATGCCACACATGCTCTGACGCTGTCAGAGATATTTCTGTGCGTGTCCATGTGCATCTCTTTATTTCAGTGCACACTCTGCCAGGTGGTAAAACTAAGCATGGCTTCCGCACTGCAACAAACATTTGTCTAACAAGTCACATTAAGGCTTTTGTGTTTTTTGTCAACTTTGCCAGTGGGTTGAAAAAAACATGATTTGTTTTCTGTGCAGCTTTTAATTGTTCTAGGAAATTTGCCCACAGAACAAGTACAACAAAATTTTTACATGGGTCCTTTCATAGAAATGCTATGTCCAAAGAAATTTGTGTTGCTTGTCCCCACATCATGTGTCACTGATAACATGGTGTTTTTCATATAGGCCATATTGCATGATGGATTAAAGGAGAACACTGCTTGCTGTTCAGTATTGTACAAATCATGTCCTCTCACTTGCACCTGTAAAATCCTAATGAGATGTCAACTGGCAGATTGAACTCATGCCATTTACCACTGAAACACTGTTCAGATTTAGTCTTGGAAATTTAAATAAACCAAATAATACAAAGATGCAATGTTCTGACTGGGGAACTGAAGCTCGGTTTATTCTACAAAAGGATTTCTGCTGTTAAATTAAGTGTCTTGGACTTTGAATGACAGATAATAAACAGAGGAGAGCATTGTCTTTTGTCTATATTTTGTTCACTTGGCTACAGTATTTGTATGCAGGACCAGGATCTATTTATTGTTATTTATGCAAAATCTTATTTGAACCATTGTATATAAATGATTTTTTTAGGACTTTACCTTTAATATTAAGACATAATTCTTTTATGTTAGCACATTTTTTGGCTGATTATAGAAAGTCACTTTTAGCTTTTCCCATTTAGGGGTCGCCACAGCAAATCGTCACACTGACGACTCGCATGTTGACATTTGGCACGTGTTTTACGCCGGATGCCCTTTCTGATGCAACCCTGATTCAAACCCGGGCTGCAGCGGCGAGAGCGCCTTAACCACTAGCCTGCTTGCTAATTAAGGGACTGGTTTATTTGTGCTGCTATTGGTGTTTGCTTTCTCCCTCTAGTGATCTGTTTGGTTCAGCTCCACTTTGGATTGCGTTGAATTATCCTCGGGTCTATTTGGATTGGGCATGGCTGTGCTCGGGTTCTCCTCTGATCAGGCCTCTCTTTGTTGAACTTAAGTTACTGTATGCATGCCATGTTTGGGTAGGTCTTTCAGGTGTCTTTTTTGGATTGGGTCCAAAATATTCTTATGAGTGACGTGTATTTAACAAATAACTCAGAGTTTTCCAGGCTCCTCACTTTTTAAAACTGGCTTTAAAATGGTTGGAACAAAGAGTCTAAAGCCATGCTAACAGCTCTGTGAGGAGGCCAGAGCTCAGAGCAGCAGAGATAACTGGCGACTGAGATCACTGGGTAGAGCAGTCGTCTCCCAACCGGAGAGTTGGGAGTTTGAATCTTTGTGCCTGCAGTCCACATGTTGAAGTGTCCTTGGGCAAGACACGGAACCCCCAAGTTGCCCCCGATGGTTAGAGCCATCAGTTGATTTGGCGCCGCAGATGGCTGCCTCGGTTCTGTACTAAAAACAAATTCCTTGTGTGTGTATACTTGGCCAAATAAAGGTGATTATGATTATTATCCTTATCCTATGTGTCAGGTTTGCTTGGCTGCACTTGCCTCTCTCACCTCTCTTACTCTGTCTTTCCACCCCTGATTACTGATCACGCACACCTGTTTCTCACTCCTTTCTCACCAGCTGCACTTGATTAGACCATTGGCTATTCTCTCTTGGTGTTGACTTTGTTTTTTTTTATACTGTTTGTACACCGTTAGATCCTGTTTCTGCTCTGGATTATTCATATGCTCTACTCCTCAGACCAGCACCTGTGTTATTTCTCTCCTTGGACTGTTTCCTCCGCACCGTACTCCATTCTTCCCTTCCAGGCAGGTCGGTGCACAGTCACCATCTTCTGTTTACCATTATCAATGCCTCTCTGTCATTGCAGCAGCCGCCTCTCAACCACCCATCCGCCCAGGAGTGACCCCACCGT